GATTCATCCTCTATGATTCTGCGTTAGATTTCTACCTTCTGAACTGAAAAGGACAGTTGGGCAACTTCATTGTTAGGACATGCTGGCAATCTTTTCCAACTTCCACATTTTGTGGTGCTTTTTAGAAAGCAGCAATGCAGTAGAAATATCCTTCCTGATGTCTTTATAAAGGAAAAGCTTTTCCAACACAAACAGTCCTCTGTTGAACTTTAATACCCCTCCAACTAAAAAATAAAAATTAAGAAAACAGAACAACGGGATCTCTTCATCTCATCTGAATCCAAATGACCTATCTAGAAAGGAACAAAGCTGTCATATGCAAGAATCTTCAGAGCAAAAACTCTCTGTGTAAGTAACTAGAAACTGCTAACTTAATGAAGTAGGCTGTGAGTGGTCTCCCTCCTTCAGACTTTTTTCAAAGAATTTTTTCTTGGAAAACCATGAGAAAAACTTCTACTTTGGTAAACATCTGTGATATATTTTTACACTGTGTTTTAGCTCTGAACTCACACAAGCACTGACATGGAGAACTACATTCAGCAATTGCCTCTGTACCGTTAGGATCTACCCAGGGTAGCACTCTGTATGCTCAGGCTTCAGTAGCTAATCCTGTAATCACCCCAGTCAACAGGAACAAACTCAGAAGTGCTGAAGAAAGCAGTTTTCCCTCTGATAAAGTTCACCTGACTTCCTAGTTGAGTAACTACTGTACAGAAGTGCAGGCAGATGCTTCTTTAGGAAGAACCATCTTGTACTGAATGGTGTTTACCAGCAGATTGCTCTTACAAGAGTAAATACCACTTCCTGCACTCAAAATACTAATGTAAAAGGAAAGAAACAGCTCCTACACAGACACAGGAATGGCTGAAGTGCTACAGTGATGTGCTAAGGCTACCACTTATCTGGAAGTGCCATAATCCATCTGATACATCCTTACTTCCCCCATAAACACCACTGTCAGCAAAGAATTAGTAGAACACTCTACTCAGGCTGCCCTCTAAAACAGCTTTCAACTACATGACCAGTCTTAGCTACTGCTGCTTTTTTCTTAATATGGAGGTGCTGAGCTCCTCATCAATCTGCCCGAGCAGGACTCCAGCCTGGAACTCTTCAATTTTCAGGCAGAGAACAGGGATAATTGCAAAATCTCATAATTAGAAACCAAGTGATCCACCCAGGAGACACAACAGTGCACTGTTAATAGCTTTGCCTTCTGTCAGAGTCAAAAGCAACCTTGTTTTGGGCACTAAGCTGCCAATATCCAAAAAGGGAAGAATAGCAGCTACTTGTAAATACTCTCTGCCATTGAATTTTTACCTATTGCAAGTACTAGAAGTAGAGTTTCAGGAGCTGTTATTCACTTTCACGTAGTAGTTGCCATTTTGCTAGACAAGATTAAACAGGCAGGATGTTTCCAGGGCATGGAGATTACAGGGCAGGACTACCAGAAGAGACAGTGGCTACATAAGGAGAAAACACACCTCTTTCTGAGTTTTTCTGGTTATAAGTCACCTAATGCAGTAGGTGGAATTAGGTGTAGCAGGAACAAAGACAACACTCTCCACCACCCCTTCCCTAGTGACATGGGGATATTATCTGCATCCTCCCCTACTGCCAGTGCTCATTTCTGAAGCTCCTTATAAACAAGATGCTGTATCTTTGCTTGTTACATTCAGTTAAGTAGTTCTGCACACAGCAACTTCTCCCAAGCCATTGAATACAGCAGTCTTATTTACAAGAGCCAGCTTTGCCTTTGTAAGGAAAATAATCAGGTTATATTCACTTAGTTCAAATGTACCCTGTTTAATTTGAAGAGCGCTGACTTGATAAATATGTGTGAGGGCAAAAGTGTTTCACAAACACAACTATGTTCATGAATTTGTGCATGGTATAATTTTTGTTATATATTTACTTTATCTGATGAGATGCAGTCTAGATAGGAGAGAGCTGATTTAAAAAAATTTCCTCTATCAAAACCAAAGTGGAACCAATCAGCATTTGTGCAGGAAAAACCTGCCCAAGTAATGTTCACTCAGGCAGTGTTTCCCCTGTAAGTAATGAATTCCCACTCCACTCTATTTTTTGCATCTCAGTGCTCAGAGAAGTGCTCCCAGCAGAGACCATGGTAGCAGGCACTCATCCTGCCCCTCCCTGCCTCAGCCCCCCAGCACAGGCACCAGGGCTCACTCAGCCTGGGGGGCTTTGGGCAAGATCAACACTAAGGAACACATCTGTGTTGCACTGCCCTTCCGACTTCTTTTGTTTCTCTGTCTTTTTGAAGTGGAGCAGGAACTTTTTCAAAAATCAGATGAACCTGAAATGTACTTACAGTCCTTCCTGACCACAGCTTCAAACAGAAATGCCAGCTTCTGGGCTCTGAGAGAATGACAAGCTCCTGTAAACAAAACCCACTTTGCACAGAAAAACATAGCAACTAATTTCAAGAGCAAGAGCAGATGTTACTCTTATCCTCCAGTCTAGATCACAAACGGATTAAGCCAATTTTGTAATTTGTTTTTTCGAGCAGAGGGAAGGCATGCTTCTCCTCTCACTGAAGTGGCAGTTGCAGCACCTCTTTAAAAAACAGCCCCAGGATTCCATTTCTCTCTACAGATCATAATTTCCTTGACTTTAATTTCCTAATCAGATCCATTTATAACAGTATTTTTTCCTCCTCATAACGCAGAAACTCTTTTTTGCTCAACCAAATCTGTATCAAACATCAGGAAACAGCACCACAGACTAACATGGGGAAGTAAAGTAAATAACAAACACTGACTTACATCCTATTTTCATAGAGCCCTTACACTTCTGAAAATGAAGGTAATATTCTGATCTATTATGGTCTGAATTTTAGCAAGTCACAAAGAACAGCTGAGAACGGCAGAAAATAATACAACACAAACTTTTTCAGCACTTCTACAGTACTATATCATGTGCTAGGTGTCTTCAATTATTTCCCAGGAATCTGTTAGCAAGCTTAGAATTTTACTTAGGCATTCTTTAACTCAGTTTCAAGATCCTCTTATCCAAGATTTAACCAATTCAGACCACAGTTAGTTCATACCTGTCAGTATTTATCGTCTTACTTCGGAGTAAGATAAAACCTAAATAACTTAGTTTTAATAAATTGACAGTCAGACTGAAATGAATCCAAGGAAGTCACTCATTAAACAAGAAACTCCATATACAGCAACAGTCAGTGACGCCTTACTTTTATTTTTCAATGTTTTCTTTTCATTTTACTTCTGCAATTAACAGAGCTGGGAAGAAGTATTTCTGATTTCACACATACACACAACACCACAGGTCTTTTCCTTTCAACAGTTCATCTGCAATTTCTATTGGAATATGCTATTATCATCACAGAAAGTTAATTACATAGCAACACACATCTGACATCACTTATGTCAGAGGTTTGATCAGCATTACCTTTGCATTGGCATTGGGGAAAAAAAAGAATTCTTTGTCTGAAAAACGCACACACAAAAGTTATTTAATTTTAAGGCAATATCATCTGAATTTTCCATGATCCTGTTGCAACAATGATCTTACTGGGTTTCATGACACTGTTAACTCTCTTTGACACAAAATAAAATGTGAGGCCCATGGCTGGGGACTCCTCATGGTTCTGCTATTTCCAAGGAGATCTGATCTGCTACCCAGCTAAAAACTCTTAGCAACACCTTTCCACATGGCAAGAACAAGGTGGCATCAGAGCTCAGGATCTCACATCATTTTAGGGTATCAGGCTCCCTGACATTGTAGTCACTTTGTTTACCCATTCCTCTCCCAGGATGTCAACTCTCAGTGACCCTAAAACACAGAGTAAAGTGTGTGCTCTCACTGGAGAGAGCAGGGCATCACTGCCCAAGGAAAGACAAAAGCAGAAATATCCTCCACTCCCAATGGCTCTGCTGCTTTGCCACCTGCCCTCTGGAGGGGCACAGCAGCCCATCCACAGGTCCCTGTGCTCACACAAGCACCCCCAGCAGTGACAGGGGGAAGGCAAACTCTGGCTCACCACAGCAGTCACACTGCCCGTTAAGTGCTCCCGTGGGTATCATTTGAAGCACATTAAATTTGCATTAACCCATTAACTTAGGAACTGCTGTCAGCATGATGCAGTTCAGAGAAGAGCAGTGAGGCTGGGGAAGGGACTGGAGCACAAGTGCTGAGAGGAGAGGCTGAGGGAGCTGGGGGGGCTCAGCCTGGAGAAGAGGAGGCTCAGGGGAGACCTCCTCACTCTCTGCAACTCCCTGACAGGAGGGGGGAGCCAGGGGGGGGTTGGTCTCTTTTCCCAGGCAAAGATCAGCAAGACAAGAGGGCTGGGTCTTCAGCTGTGCCAGGGGAGGGTTAGGTTGGATATTAGAAAGAATTTCTTTCCAGAGAGGGTGCTCAGCCATTGGAATGGGCTGCCCAGGGAAGTGGGGGATTCTCCGTCCCTGGAGGTTTTTAAGATGGGACTGGATGTGGCATCAGTGCCATGGGCTGGACAGTGGTGGATCAAGAGTTGGACTTGATGATCTCGGAGGTCCCTTCCAACCCAGCTGATTCTATGACCCTATGATTCTATTCTAACTGGCAGGGAGGACTCAGGTACATCATGACAACAACCACGGCAGGGTCACAGTTCTTTGGCCACGCCACGTTCCTACTGATACCTGTCAAGATTTTGATAATGAAATTAAAGAGTAGCAGCAGAAGCAACAGAACAATAAAGCCTTCATTATGTCACAATCACAAGTCATATGGGAAAATAAATATTGGTTCCCCCACATCTCAGGACAACCATTACTTTGTAGAAAGTCACATTTTTGAAAAAAAACAAAAACAAACAAACAAACAAAAAAAGGTTGAAGTGTGCCACATTTCCTCATACCTTAGAGGAATTCGTATTCATTTGCAATTTTTCCCTGTTTGTTGTGGATTTCTGCAAAATCTGAAAGCACTGTGGTTTTCCACACTCCCATTGTAAGAAAATCAACAGGTTTACTTACGCATTAGGTTGTAAATGTGCTTTTCTGCAACGTGTTCCGTAAACAGCTTTATAAGGTCATCTTTTAAGTCTCTGTTAAGCTTGGTTTCTATGTAAAATTTATTCTGGAAAATAAGACAGAAGTTTTCAACTTTCTTTCTCACAATAACAAATAAAGCAAACTTATTTTTTTCCCTGAACAAAAACGGTTTGGAATTTTAAAGGCGTAGAATAATTCACCTGTAAAATGCTGACTTGGGTATTTTTTCCAATGTCTAAAAGTGATTAAGCCATTCAAATAGGTAGGTTACAATAATAAATCATCAGGACAACTATCCACTTCAATGGTTCATCAACAATCTCAAAGGATAGCTACTCAGAACTAATCAACTGTGGAAATAAGTGATATATACAAATCCATGCAAAACTGAACTACATTAAAATTTTTAGGATTCCATTATCTTGACCTACTCAGCACTAATAATACATTTACCTCTTTGAAGAAAAAAAAAATCAAAGAAAATTCTATTAATGAGTTCCTTCAGAGTCCCTATACCTAATGTACTATTTAGTATTACTCCTCAGTTCCCAGCCTACAGTTAATAGTAAGATTTTTTGCTGTATTTTATTGATAGATGTGTTTTAAATGTTGGAAAAAAAATAATTGCTCCAAGATAAGTCTCCTCTTATTAAAATGCTAACTTTGAAGTAGAACAGCTGAATTCAACTGGACAACTTGTGTAAGAGTTAAACAGATTACCTAATAGAAAATGAACTCAAAAATAACTTGCAGGAACACTTATCTGACAGATTTACTAGAGGAAGGGCTATCTTAAGGGAGAAAGGTTTTTTCAGATTTTAAATCAAGTTGTTCTCCTGACGCATTTAACAAAATTGGAACAAACTCTCAGAACACTATTAGAGCAATCTTTACATTTCCCTGTAAAACTCATTCTCTTCCCCATTAGCAAAAATATAAACACACTATAACACTGTCCATGCAGAAACCACTTAAATGTTCAAGGCAAGCATTCAGCAGCAATTACTCATGTGTAATAATAACTGAACCTATCAGAAACAAAGGCCATGTGAGGGCTGAATCCACGTCCCTGCTGCAGTTTAAGTTTGTTGCAGTGATGGACAACCACCTTAGGAAGATATTTTTTTTTAATTTAGTAAACTTCCTGCTGTTGGTTCCCCCTTGACACTATCCTTACCTGTAGAGGTTTTATCAAGGGCTATTTTATTACTCAGTTGTTTCCCCCCTCACCTGGGCCTGTTCTTTGAACAGAGGTTGAGGGAAAGGCTCTGCAGACAGAATAACCTGTTTCATAAGGAACAGACTGACTTCACTCATGGTGGTTTTGGTCAGTGGTGATCCACAGCAACTAGAGATCCATGGCTCCCAGGAAGTGTTCAGATACACACCCTACTTCAGTCTTTTACCAGACTGTTTTCCTAAACCATTTTCACCTCGAGGTTCCTGACCAGAAAACACCATGAACCCACTGGTGCAACACACAGGAGTGTCACACACAGTGTCAAACTGCTCATTCTGATGAGCTGGCAGATGAGATGCACCCAGCTAGGGATATAACCTACTCTAGTCCCTTCCCAGTCTCAAGACCGCTGGACATTAAAAGAAGCTGGCAACAACAGGTGCAAACTCTGCTGCTTCCTTTGGTTTATGAGTTGGAAAGCCTATACTTTTAAGTTTTGCTACTGGAAAAGCAACATAAAAATAATTTAAAAAAAAAAAGCAAGCCAGTAGCTACAAGACAGTACTTACACACAGAAGAAATGTAAAATACTCTTCACATTTGCTCACTTTGAAACACCTTTCCGAAAAGATGGTACACTTGTGTGAGTTTAAATAGGCAGTGAAAAAATCATCTAACATAAGTACTCCATTTCCAATCCACGCTGCTGAAAGGAGATGGCAGGAGAGCTGTCACCTTCCCCATTCTTGTTAGTGGAAAAACAGGAAGGTTTTCTGTATAACATGCCACTACCTAGGCTGTACCAGTATTTCTTGAAAAATGTCTCAAGTCACCTAAAGGTCTAACTGACAATCAAAAGGGAAGCAGACACCAACAACTGAGAAAGCCAGGTATGACACAAACACTTATTCTACAAAATAATTCTACACTGTACCACAAAGCAGTCTGGCAAATCTTAAAAGACATAACTGAGTTAATATTACTAAGAGGAGATCAATAAATACTTGAAAGGAGAAAAACCCGTATATAAGAGTGCTTATCATCTCATTCACACATACATACTCACACGTATTTGTGTTCACAGACACACACAAAATGCCCTCTAGCTGATAAGCAACAAAGTGCAATACCACCCAGTAAGAATAATAATGTTTTAGAGGCAATGAAAAAATTCTTAACTATCCTAAAACCACAGTGCTCACAAATGTTAAGCTCATATAATGCACCAAGATAACAGATTTTCCTCTACAGCTCTAAGTAAAATGAGCAATTGAGAATCTATAAGAAAAAAATATATTATCTAAATATATAAAATCTAAATGCTGATTTTAATTTTTATTGAAGTGGAAGTATGGTTCTTATTCATTTATGTGTGTAGCATAATGTGATATGTACAATCTCTAAGCATCCAGAACAGCCTCATTTACATTTACAAAGCAAACAGTTATTCACCAGGAATAAAGCACTGTGTACTAAGCTTACTTCCAGCTTAATTTGCTTTATCTGCTGTTACATTCCAGAACTTTTGAAGGAGCCTAAACCCACAGAATCTTGCAGGGACCAAAGTACTTTGGGTCTCCATGCTTTTCTGAAAAGTCTGCTGTAGCAGCATAAGACTGAAAAAAAAAAATCTATTACCATGTGAAAGGAGAAAGTGCTCCCAGCAAAAGAAGGAAGAAGAAAACTCCCTCAGCTGCAAGGTCAGCCCTCTCAGCCATCACCCAAAGTAAGCTTTGGAACATACCCTGGTCACTATAAACAGCCAGGGTAAGAAATCACCTTCCTGTACTCCCACCATTCAACATATGGTTTGGTCCACATCAGGAAAGGAAAGAAAAAGTGCTGCTGCTCCTATCAACACACAAAGCCTAACACAAAATGCTATGGCATGTTCCAGTTTTACAGAGAAGCTTTAGTTTTTCTGCAGCTTCACAGATTTTAAATTACTTAAATGCATATTAAAAGCTTTCCAAAGCAGCAACGTAATTATCCTTTCAGAACAAAGTTCTGAAGTGCAATTCAACAGCCTTGGAAACTCCTGATTAAAGCAATAACAGAAAAGGAAAGCTCTGCCACCTCTGATATAAAGGCAGAGTTCAACAACTTAGTCCTCCTCACTTAAAAATGCATCGAAAGTATCTATTAAAGTAACTGCAAAACTGTAATTTATGCTGTAGAGCAATTAGGCTTTCACCTCTTGCAATTGTTTTTTAATTGTATTTTTTTGTCCAAACAGAGGAAACTGCTGCTGCTGTATGAGAGAAAACTTGACTGGACACTACAATGTAAGACTGCAAGAGTATCTGTACATAAAAGTACTTGTGAATGCCCACAGGAAAACCTAAGAGAGGCAAAGATTTTTCATCCTGACTTCTTTAGAGGTATTGTCCACATCATGCACAACACTGATTAGTAACTTATTTCAGTGAAAATTGATTTGACATTAGCCTTATAAGCCAGCATTGTGTTTGGCAGCAACAGGAACTAACAGTAAGTCACACCTCTGATTCAAGGGGCTTGTAAGAAAGATGGGGACAGGCTGTTTAGCAGGGCATGTAGTAGCAGGACAAGGGGTAATGGTTTTAAACTAGAAGAGGGTAAATTTAAACTAGATAGAAGGAAGAAATTTTTTTAAATGAGGGTTAAACACAGGCACAGGTTGCTCAGAGAGGTGGTGGATGCCCCATCCCTGGAAACATTGAAGGTCATTTGTGACCTGGTCTAGTGGAAAGTGTCCCTGCTCACTGCAGGGGGGTTGGACTAGATGGCCTCTAAAGGTCCCTTCCAACCCAAATTATTCCATGATAACTCTCAGGTCTAACTTGAATTAAGCCACTTAAAAGATAAAGTGTTTGCAGGAACAGTTTTACAGCCTGAACAGAGCACTAGTCATGCTTCAAAGAAGTTTTTTCCTTTCAAACAATAGAGCACTTTCACTCTTCTCTGATGTCAAATTAAAAAGAAAACTATTATCTAACTATTCATTTTACAGGTCTGTTTAATACCCATTAATCATTTCTACTATGTTCAGGTATCAGACTCAAACTCTAATATGAACAATGGGATACAGACCACTCCTCACCTGTACAAAGATGTGGAAATCTATTTGACAATTACACTTCATCTGGTCATACAGAAAAACCTTGTAATGATAAAACCCACCTGTTTCTATGTGTGTCATGAACATTTTTTCAATATTAGCTACTGCAGGCTTAATTGTGAAGGACAAATTTTGACTTCTGTGATGGAAGAACATCACAGAAATGAGCATTCAGTACAGTACACACCTGAACAGCTTATCTCCTTCTGAAAATGGATATTAAATTATGAGGTCATGTAAAACACCAGCCTGCAACAAACAAGTTATGCACACACAGGTCACAAAGTGGGTACCATCCAAAAATATCTGGATTTAATAGGGAAAAAAGTCTCCTCCTAGTTTACCCCAGCATTTCACAACAGGAAGCAAGAGAACAATTAAAAAATCATCAGAGGAACACATCCCTTAGCTTAAAACTGATGCTGGAACAACTGGATTTCATTCTGTATTAACCAGATAAAAGAGCAGATTACAGCCACTCAGTTCAATAAAGGCAAATTCCCCTTTTAATGCAACAAACCTGTTTGGCAACACTATGCTGAAAGTCTATAGCAAGCTACCTAAATTCACTGAAATGTAGGAGATCTTTGGTAGTTTCTCAAAGATCTGAGAACTCTGAGAAACTACCAAAGAGAATCACTGTGAAGAGTTTGAGGTTTATTTAATGTAAATCAGTTAAAATTTTTTTTGAAAAGTTTCTTTCCCAACAAATATATCTTTTTTAAATTATTTCTAAGTGAGGCTAATGCAAGGACAGTTTCTGGGAGGACAAATTTCAAGCTTAAGTTATTCATTACCACAGAAAAACCCTCGACCAATAAAAGTCTTGGCACTTTGACAAAAGAAACTCAAATTATAAACGTCTTCAGAGGTATAAAAGATTTCATAAACTATAAAAATCTACACAAAAACTCTTAACCAATTAATCATTAACCATTAACCAACGGTTTCTGAACCTCTCCAAGTATTCCTGACAGTGCTATGAACATAAGTTTGTCTTCATCCATCCAACACTCTAAATTGCTTTATCAAATGACAAAGACAGCTCCAAGATACATTTCTTCCTGTATTGTCTGAATCTGTGCTATTTAAAAGCAAGAAATAATCATCTCCATAACCTGCCCAAACTAAGAAGCCAAAATATAACAAGCCAATAAATGATGTCTGTTCAAGAAGATATAAATAATGAATTATTTGGGATGGCTTTTTTTCCTGATCACAATAAAAACCACTCTTCCCACTCCCAAGAAAGAATTGTTAGGGCAGAAATGAACTGCAAAACTCTACATTTAAAAAGCCCAGCTGCCCTTTCCTCTCCTCATACAACTTGATCAGTAGTGTTAGGCAGGTATGAATCATAAGTTTTACATGTCAAAAATCATTATAGCTCCATTTTATTCTTCTCACTTTCAGTCAGCATCTTATGTATGGACATATTTATTTGAAAAGAATTTTCTAAAACTTACCATATATATGAAAAGAGGCACAATGCTCTGCAATGCTCCCATATACTGTCCAAGAGCTATGTTAAATCTTTCAATATAGAGATCTGGAGGGCTGGCCTGAAAGAAACCGTAAAAGTCAGGTTGTAATTTGAACAAGAGAAAGATCTGGAACAGCATGGGCTATGCTTTCACAGCAAACTCCAACAGCTCCAAAGTATTTGATACACTAGGTCCACACAAAGCAAGCCACACATCATTCCAGAGTTTCTGCTCTAACTCCCTCCAGCACAACCAGTCTTCCCTCAGTGAGCAGTTTTTGCCTGGGGCTGTGTCAGTGCCCAGCACAAGGTCCATTCAACAGGAAATAGGTATTCCTGTAACAAACTAGCATTTAGCACATGCAAATAAAAACACTTCTCAAAGATCAGACCTTCATTTAGAAAGCACCCCCTGTCGTGCTTAGAACCCCTCACCAAATCTGAACGAGTGTGTGCCCCAACCTCCCCGAGCTGCTCCTCCACCACAGAAGGTGATATTAAGCTCTGCTCTGCACCAAGCTGGCAAGTGGCACACCCTGCAGCTGCAGGGAGCACTGCCCTCCACACTTGGAAATCTGAAAGAAAATATTTTGACATTTTTGCTGGGTCACCTAAGGCAAGGCAAGTGTTCAGGGTATTGAGCTGGAGGGACCATGACGAAGCCAGACCTTTAGACAGAGCTGTGCATGCAGGGTCCTCCTCAGCTCAGGCCTAGGAAAGCCTCCTGCTGTGCTCCAACACACTGCATCACCCTGGAGCCCCAGCAAAGCTTTGCTACACCACACCTGAATGTGCCAACCTCGTGATAGGCTTTGGAGAGCTATTTTCTGTGCACAATACCCTATTTCCCAAGGAAGGAGATAAGGAAGCTAAAAAGGTCTGCAGCGAGCTGAATTAAATTGAGAAGGGAAGCAGAAAAATGGGAAGCATTAAGCACTGTTTCTGTTCCAATGTTTATTTGGAGGCAGGCAGGGGAGCTGCACTGCAGCATTCAGATGTGCTCTCAGACACCCACTGCTTTGGTCTTTGGCTGCCTGAGGTCCTACTGCTCCCAGACACACACACCTAAACACACCCAGGGGCAAAGTGCTGCTTCCTAGCGAGAAGCAAAACTGTCTTCCCCTCTGACATTCACAAAGCCTAAAGAAGAAAGAGAATACAGCAGAAACTGGGACCTTGCAAGAAAACAAGCCCAAAGATTTTCCTAAATCCAAAGCATCTGTGGCCTGAAAAACACTCAAGGCTTAGGTGCACCTCAACCATCTTATCAGAACTTAGAGCTATCTTCACATAGCAGATTTTTCAGCCTTTGTATGGACATTCACCAGGAGCCCCAAGAGAACAGTTAAAATTTATGTTGATATTTTGCTCTATTCTAAATTTATGAAAGTTTTTTTTTGCCTTTAAATTAGCTTCTTTTGCCTACCTTCTTAATATGCTTAATGAACACGTGGGTAATTTTCACAGTAAACACCAATACAGAGCAGAGAGTTTAGAAAGGAAAGCAAAACTGGCAAAGGAATAAAGAGCATTATTCCATATGCAGTTGCCAAAGGTTATATATGGTTATTCCTCATTTTGATCATAAGGTTTTAATCTTATTGCAGATGCAGTTCTCAGGGGTGGCCAAACAAATTTTAGTTGAAAATGCCAACAATGTACAAAAGTAGCTATGAGCTCCAAGGACTCCCTTTCACATATAATTACATATATAATTTGTTGTAAGTAACATGCAATGAAATCTGCATTTCTAAGCAGTATGTATTCCTGCTTCACTCCCTTTCAACCTCAACTTTAAATATGGTGATACCCTCGGATTTGTAAAGACTCGGCATACAGCTTCTAAGATTAAAGAAAAAGGAAAATTCTACTTCAAAGAACACATCAGACAAAAGGAGACCACAGCCTGACACAGTGCACCACTCTTCTCTCACTGGTAGATTGCCCTTTTTATTTAAAAGGAAAAAAAAACCAACAAAAAAAAAAAAACCCAACGAGAAAAAACAGAGACAGAAGCTGTCTGAGCAGTGTGTGATTTAATCCCATGAACAGACTGCAGGCAATGTATCCCCTCAGTCTGCCACTCTTTTTTACAGGGGACATTAAGGACTCATCTCTTTTTCCTCCGCTGCAGATGAAAACTCTGCCAGCTCACCTCACAAAGCCTATGTCCCAGTAAGAGAGACATTTTATGAGGGGACAACAACTGCACAACTGCCAGAGTCCTTTAATGGAAGGACACTGGGAAGCTGTCACCACCACCATCACCTTGCAAACAAGTGGAAACAACTGCTCTATAGACAAAGACAAAAAAAACCCCTAAGAAAGGTCCTGACAGCTTTAGAGGAAGCACTCACTAGTGTCAGGCAAATATCAGGCCTTGGTTTTAACCTCTGCAAAACAGAAATTATGGTGTTCACTGCTTCATCAGCGTGAAATGGCACCTTTCAGTTTTATTCTCCTGATAGTGCTTCATGTCAAGTCTCGACAGTCAAACCACTAACAGGGAAGGAAAAAAAAAAAGCAAGCTTGACAATCAAACTCGCCTCAACTATTGCTTGACTTGTAAACTACCAAAATAGCCAAGCCAAAGAGAAATCAATAGTATTTTCACAGCTCATCTCTGAATTATCGTGACCTGGGGGGGGAACAGAACCATCTGCTGCTGTTCATCCTGGTGTTACTGTGCAGCTGCTCCAAACTGCCACACTGAAACCAATCACTTGTTTGAGCACAGGAACCTTCATCATATCTCTACATTAACATTTATAATACAGTAACTGGATTAGCTTTATATACACTACTTGAATTTTATAAACTAAAAAGCAGTGCATGGCATCAAATTCAGGAGTAAACAGAAGTTGCTGCATTTTATTTATTAAATGGTCATCACTAGAATACAGCTTCCACTTAAAATCTTTACTTATTCAGCTATAGCTATTACAACAAAAAAAAACCCAAACCAAAACTAGAAAAAAAAAACCAAAAAAACTCCAACTGCTTAGCTGACACTTTTCACTCCTGGTCTTAGTCCAGAAAAAGAGAACACATACATTCAGCTGTTTTAATTACAGGGGGAGGGTCAGAATTAAGGATGACATTTACTTCTTACAACTCCCCAGACACTATTAAGTCTTTAAATCTACTCCTATCTTACCTGAGGGATCTATTACAGCTGTTCAAAGAAAGAAAAAAATACACACTGATAGCCTAAGGTTTTCCAGGAAGGAAGAGGATCCCTCGTTCCTTCACTCTTTCTCCTCAATTCTATCAAAATGTTAATTCAGGGTTTTGGGGGTCTTTTTTTGTCTGTTTGTTGGGTTTTGGTGTGTTTCAGTTTCTTTGTTTTTTAAGACATTCCATACAGGGAGACAGCTTAAATCCTCCCCTACATTTGCTCTCATCTGCCACTCATAGGGTTAAGAACAGTTTTCCAGTAACAACTCTTGTGTCTGCCCACAGGAGCACTGAACATTGGGTTGGGTTCCTCAAAATGGGATACAGTTGCATTTGCTTATCATCTTCAGCTTGGCTGTGAGTCAACTACTTGGCATAAAAAACTATGGTGCTGTTTAAAAGTTGATAATAAATCTCCTTACACATCACAGTGGACATCTCAGCACCAAGAGAAATGAAAAGTAACAAGAAAACACATTTGAGAAAGGATGACATGCAAGATAAGACATAGTCAAACAAAACAAGCCATTGGAAATCCAGTATACTACATTACCCTTCCCTTATTTGAAATCTAATATCTAGGCATTTCAATGAACTTGTGGTCAAGAAACTGTATACATGAAAATGATGGGGGTTTATGCAGCTTGAAAAACAGTTTGAATATTATTCTTTAACTGAACACACGAATGAAAGCAGAAGAGGTGCTGCTGGCTCAACACAGCTCAGAAACGGCTTACAAAAAAGAAACAGAGACAACAGTGCTTGAGGAACACAAAGTTACTCTGTTTATGATCTGTCTGGCACAACCAGCAGTGTACTGAGCAAAGCTGACACTCCTCCGTGGAATGGGCAGCCCCATTTTCCTGGGAACACGCTCACTGCCACGATGCCAGCACATGTGCTGCAGCAGCTCTGCCACACCTGCCCACTGGAAAGGGGGCACGGCCACGACTACACAAATTAACCTGTTATTCACGTGGGTGGTTTGAATCTTCTAAACTAGTCTTTGTTCTTCCTTGAGAAAATTTGTTTACCTTGCCTTAATATAGGTGATGCCCAGGTCTGCCTCCTCAGACCCAGGGATTATTGAAACCTTTCACAAAAACCAGCCATCACACTAAAACACAACTCTTGCAAAGGCTGACTGTGTCTTCCTAGTCCAGCCTGCACTCAAACCTGTTCAAAGCTGTGCAGGATCATGACATACCCTCACCTAACTGTCTTACAGCACGTCAGCAGATGGAGGCCGTGTTTCCATTTCCATTTTACACGTTTGTCAAGCAAAAAGACATTGTATCTAAGGACCATCCAAACCCTGTTTAGTAACAAGTAAGGTATCTTCAGAAGCTTTTCCACCTAGCAAATGCATATTAATTTGTGCTGTATTTACTTATAGCTTTCTGTAATTGTATCAGGCCTTGCAGTCCCAGCATATCTAGAGCTGCAAGAACACAAACCTTTTCAAAAAGCTGCAGGTAAGGATGCTTTTTAAGGTTAGCTTGCTCACGGCAATGTCATTTTTAATGGCAATTCTGGCAATATGGTGACCCCTGTATCTTCTTCATTCAGATGCCAACATTCTGATGGCCACACAGGAAGATACAAAAATTTCTAATGCTTCTGGTTCCTGCCATCTGAGTTCAAATTTGATGTGATTCAGTTCACTGTAGTTCACAGCAGTGAAGACTTTTTTCACACACAATTAATCAATGTTCTCCCAGCAAAACTGATGGATAAATGTCTACAGCTACAAACATTGGAGTTTTTTTTTCCCTTTTAAATATTATGGACCAGATAAATGCCCAGTTTGAGCCCCCTCTTTGAAAAATGAACTGTTGATATTAACAAATCACCCAAAAGGACTCTAAGAAACACCAATGATTTACATAATTAGTATGAAGA